GAAAATGATTTGAGAACGATGATGTAGCATATGTATGCTAGATTTAGAATGAAATAAATTTTAGATATAATTACTATATCCTTACATATTGAGCTTCGTGTGTCTAATGGGTTGATGTGTCATGCTTGCATGTAAGTTTTAGGAGTGCTAATAAATACTATGCTTGTATGTTGAATTTTAGATGTTTAGTTGATATTAGATTGATAGAAAGAAGGGATTATGAATGATATGTTATTCTTGCATAAGCTTTAATATGCAGTGGAATAATACTCCCTCCGTCCTAAGAGAGTATTGTCCAGGGTAAAAAGACGTGTTCTCTTCTCAGGGTGTATGGCACTGCTAAAAAATTTGACTTTAGAGGTAACCAAAATCAATTTTTGCTGGCAATCATGATGACCGCCTGCGACTGAACGCCTATGACAGTCCATGATTTGTAAGCGAATATGGTCCGCTTGGGAAAATCGATTGTAATAGATGAAAACCTTAACCACCTGTACGGAGGATTTCCGGAGAAAAACAAAACAATATTCAAATTCTTGAATCGTTCGTGCAAGAAACGTTCTAGATCGGCATCAATATCATCCAAATTTTTTTTAGAGAAAAGGTCAGAGACTCGGCTTTTTACTGAAAGCCACATCGAAGTGTTCAGCTGGGGTTGCCAGCGACAAAGAGGAGTTCAAGAAAATACAGACCAGGAACAGCAACCAGACTGGCGAACAAGTAGCGAACGATCTAGATTCCAGCCGAAACTCTAAGCTGACAACGACATGAGCCAGGGAAACATCTACCTGGGAAACAAAAACTCTAACGACTAAGCAACAGAACGATAGAATTTTAACCCACACCCATTCTTGGAGATCTTAGACTAGTCGACACCATCTTGATCCTGTACTCCAGCCTTCAGGACGAAAGAGCTTCTTCCACTGCAGCAAATTTGCAACAATTTGAAAAGTTAGAGACAGGGGGAAATACAACAATTTATCTCTAAACACCATATTATTTTTGGTTAGCCACAAATTCCAGCACACAGCAGCAAGTAGGCTAAGATGCAATCTAATCGAAGTAGGGGAATTATCACTGTCACAAAGCAAAAAGAACTCGTCCAAACTCCTAGGAATAACGTTCCAGCCTAAGCCATCTCTGCAAATACACCAGATAAGTCTAGCCATAACGCAATTAAACAAGATGTGATTGGTAGTTTCCAAATGTCCACAAAGCTGACAGAACTCTGAATCATTCCAGCCTCTTTTTTTTTTAAGTTGTTCCGCAGACTGAATTCTATCTCTAATGGCTAGCCAGAGAAAGTGTTTAATCTTCATGGGAAAGGGGCTTTTCCACATCTCAGTATTCACCTCTCTTATACCCCTAAAGGTCAGGGTCCTGTACATAGATTTGGTGGTATATTTCTTGTTAGTAGCTAGGCCCCAAAGTAAAGTGTCAGGAACAGGGGAAGTCTCCAGATTATCAATTACTTTCTTGAGTTCCTCCCATTCAGTTATTTCAGCTGGACCAAAAGATCTTCTGAAAGAGAGACAATCAGTGCCCTCACTAGCAATCTATTAGACAGCCACCTCTTGTTGGTTACAGATAGCAAATAAGGATGGAAATCTAATTTTTAGAGAGCAATTGTCCACCCAAGTATCTTTCCAAAAATAGATATGTGAGCCCTCACCAACTTTCCATTCAGCACCCAAAATCACCCATTTTCTAATATTAAGCAAACCTCTCCAAAATTGGGAGCCAACACCATTTTTCACCTGGAACACACCTCCTTCTTGTAAGTATTTCCTCTTTAACACCTCTAAACACAAGCTCAATATCATCCAAATCAAAATATAAATTCATGCAGATGGGACAACAGCTCATGAGAACCATCAAAACACGGCGGCCTCCGACAGCATCCAGATCGTGATCGTCGTGGTCATCATCTCCCTCATTGCAACTGCCTCCGTCACTCCCCCGAGCACAGCCGCCACAGCTCTCCCGAGCTACCATCGCCCAAGCGCAGGAGACGACCAGGCACAACGGCCTGTATCCACCCGATGGTGTCATCATGGACTCAAGGTCGACCTTGCCGAGCAGTAACCCTACAGCTGTTGGATCCGGCACCCTCAACGCTTGCCTCCACCAGATCCAACGCTCACCGGCCCCGTCACTGCTGTATCCTATGTTAGAGAAAATGGATTAGGCCTAATTTATTCCTAATGAATTTTATAGGCCCACAATTAATGTTAAGAGATTAATGTCACCTTAAAAATTTATGTGGAAGGTTTCAACTTAACTAGGTTGCTATTGGAGAGCACTTGTTAACCGGTAGAGGTGGTAGTGGGACTACCACATGCGCACCGAGCCGGCTGGGGAATCAAATCATTCCCGGATTGATTGATTCCGTTATTACTCCAATAACAGAGACACACTATGCAAACCCATCACCGGATGAACGAATCAATCCCGGATTGATTCCACCTCTCTTCGCGCACCGGCTCCTCCTCGGTGTCTACATCTTTTCTTCTTCTGTTCCTGCGCTGCACCTCTGCTTCCCCGGTTCAAAGCACTTGCATGAACAAGTGTTTAGGATAAACAGGTCTCCCGAACTCAGCTCGCTTGAGTACCTACATGGGTATGCGGGCGTTTAAGTTTTTGGGGAGCGCTTCCTAGCGCAACTGCTCTGCTGCATCGGTTCTGCACGGCGTCGTCTTCTTCGTCTACTTCCTCTACATCGCTATGTCTACTGGAGGAGGTAATGGTAGAGGCATTGGTAGTAACGACGCTCCTAGAGGTGGCGGCAATGGCGCTCCTGGAGGCAACGTCACTGGAGAAGGCGAGAACGTCAACATCAACGGAGGCAACAACACCATCAATGCATTATCCAGTACCGAAGCGTTATCCGGGTATGTTACATTTTTAACTATTGTGTGTTAAACATGTGTTTCTCTATGATGCTTTTCTAGTCATTAGCATGTTCATGTTTAGCACTTTTTCTAGATCAATTCCTGCTACACATGTCATGTTTATTGTCTTAATTTTTAGGATTAAAATATGACTATATTTTCCACGTGCTCCACCTTCTCTGTTTCACTGTCATCGCTGCCCTCATGTCGATGTTGAGCTGGAGCCGGAATGCCGGATCCACCACGTCCCCGGTGTGGGAGGACACATCGAGAAGTGGGGGCTGGTGAGTGGTAACTAGGAGATAGGTTCATTAATTTTTTTTTCAAAGTGGCCTCCTCTTTTCCAGGTGGTTGGTTAGGTTAGGGCAAGTACTATGGGCATCCAAGCACAAACCTCAAGATGCCACATAGGACTATATAGTGAGGTGGAGGAGAGAAGAAAGATGAGAGAGAAATAGTCACATCTCATGCAAGGGGCAACCCCTACACAAACTTTAATAAACATGTGAGAGTGTTAGAGATATTGGGGATTGTGTGGTAGAGGCAACCTATTATACATGTCACCTCTTAATTTAATTATGTATATCATGTATAAAATTGGATGTGATGGTCACCTCTACTATAAAACTTGCCCTTAGGAGGTCCACTCGTAAAATAGAATTATTTTTCTGGCTGTGGCCTCCTAAACCGACAATCTGTAAAAATTAATTCTCATACAGTTGTGACCACATACTCCCAGTATGCTTTTGTCTGTGTTTAGTTCTTGAAAAAAGTTGAAAGTTTGGGGAAAGTTGGTAGTTTGGAAAAAAAGTTGAGAGTTTATATGTGTAGGAAAATTTTAGATGTGATGTGATGTGATGGAAAGTTAGAAATTGGGGGTGAACTAAACACGGCCTTTGTTAAGTCCATCGTTGAGAATAAAATGGAGTGTCATGAAAAATGTATTTTTTTATAGTAGTGTGTGAGATGTAGGCATTGACTGCTTGGAGCCATCATAAAGACAAGAGGTAGTTGGGACTTGGGAAAGACAAGAGGTAGTTGGGACTTGGGACTAGTGTGAGAGATGTGACCAATTTTTGTATTTTGAGTTTTAAGTGACAGTGGATTCAAACTATATATCTCAGAGAGATATAGATAAGTACTAATCTACAACAATCTATTATTACAAACAATTATAGCCACAATGAAAAAAATTATTTATATACATGATAAGAGATATATTTTTCGACGTGATAGTTAAGTGGCTGCAAGTAGCTAGGGCGAATCAATATACAAGGGGAGTATGCTTTATTTTATAATTTTCTGCCCCTTGTAATATCTTTATCAATTTAAGTTGAACAGTTAGTGATTTTTCTAGATATCTACTCCCTCCGTCCTATAAAAAACCAACTTAGTACTGGATGTGACACATCCTAGTACTACGAATCTGAATATACATTTGTCTAGTTTTATTATACTATAATGTGCCACATTTCGTTCTAGATTCGTCATTTCGTTCTAGATTCGTTTTTTGGGACGGATTATACCGTTGAACTATTGAGTGAGTATAAATTATCTCCATATACCGAAAACCAGAAATATTTCACCCTGAGCTATTAATACTAGACGAATTACCTCCCTAAGACAAACCAGAGTGGTTTTGGTTCTACAAGGCAGTCCAGTCATCAGTTTTTTTATCAACGAGCCCACCTGTCAGCTCTCACCCTCTATCTTTTCCCCCTCCTCTCTATATCTCTCTTTCCCAAATCATCTCTCTTCTCCCTCCCCTCACCTCCATCTCTCTCTATCACTAAATGGGGAGTGCCGGACGGCGGCGAGTTAGGGGCGGAGCGATGTGACAACAACGAGGGTGGACGGCAGGACGGCAACTGGCGAGGACAGTGGGACAGCGGCGGGGGTGGACGCAGTTCGGGGCGGCGCGATGGCGATGGCGGAGGCCGCTTAGGGCATCGAGGATAGCGGTGGATGGTGTTGGGCGAGGGCAGCGGGACGACAGAGGGGGCAGAGGCAGCTCGGGGTGGCGGGCGGTAGCGAAGGCCGCTTGGGCGCTGAGGGCAGCAGCAAATGGCGGCAAGCGAGGGCGGGGGTACGGCGGGGAGGGGGGTATGGAGGCAGCTCGGGGTGGGCAGGATGGTGGCGGGAGGTAGCGAAGGCTACTCGGGGAGGGCGGATGGCGGCGCGGTGGCGGCGTGGCTAAGGCAACTTGGGGCGGCAAGTGAGCGCCGTCAGGATGGTGCAGTGCTGCCGGCACGTGCCTCATCCTCGTCGTTGGCATCCGTGCGCGCGAGAGAGAGGTGTGAGAGGGGAAAGAGAGAGAGGTGAGAGATCTGACGGGTGGGCCCCATCGATTATTTGATAAAAGAATTGTTGACTGAACTACCACGTAGGACCAAAACCGCTCTCAAAGCTATTTGAGGGGGGTTTTCATCCAATATTAATAGTTGAGGGTGAAAGTTATCTTATTTTTGAGTTTAAGGGGTAATTCGTACTCACCTAATAACTTAGGGGCATAATTCGAGTATGGACCAGTGAAGTGAAGTCACTCGCGGAGATGCAAGTATTATAGGAGTAGAAGCAAAGCTCGATCGCTCTGCAGCTAGCCACGAGCACACAACCCTGACCTGTTCTGCGGCGAGACCATGGCGTCGCAACCGGCCGCTCACGCCGCTGGCCTCCGCGTCCTCCGCACAACGCGCGTCGCGCCAGCGCCGCCCGCCGGCGAGCCCTCGCTGCCCGAGCGAGCCCTGCCTCTCATCTTCATGGACGCGGGGTGGCTCCACGCCCAGCCCGTCGAGCGCGTCTTCTTCTACCGCCTCGGCCCCTGCGACGACGACGATGTCGACGCTGTGCTGTCCCGGATGGAGGAGTCGCTACCCCGGGCGATCCACGCCTTCTACCCGCTCGCCGGCCGCGTCCGCCCAACGCCCGGCGAGACCAACCGGTACGAGCTCCTCTACCAGCCCGGCGACGGCGTGGCGTTCACTGTCGCCGAGCACGACGGCGTCGGAGTCGGCGTCGACGAGCTCGCCACGGACGAGCCGAGGGAGCTCGCCAAGATCGCGTCGTTCGTCCCGGAGCTTCCCGAGGGCGGCGCGGTGCTCGCGCTGCAGGTGACCGTGCTGCCGCCCAACCGCCGTGGTCTCGCTGTCGGCATCATCGTCCACCACTCCGCCTGCGACGGGGTGGGCTCGACGCACTTCCTCCACACCTGGGCCGCTGCCTGCGCCGGCGACCGGATGCTCCCAGAGCCGCCTGTGATCGACCGCACGCTCATCCGTGACCTACCGAACATGCACGACGAGATCACCTCATCCACGAACGAAGCCAAAGATCTGTTCAAAGCGCCCGACGCCGGCAAGCTCCTCGACGTCCTCGCCACTTTCACCCTGTCCAAAGAGCTCCTGCAGGGCGTCAAGGACGCCGTCGCCAGCGAGGCCGCACGTCGCGGCGTGCCGCCGCCTCGGTGCACGTCCCACGTGGCCATGTACGGCCTCATGTGGCACTGCTACCGCCGGGCCAGACGGGACGACGGCGGCCGTGCCGCCGCCGCCGCCCATTTCATCTTCGCCGTCGACCACCGGTCGCGGCTGGTGCCCCGCGTCCCCGACAACTACCTCGGCAACTGCGTCGGCCCGGGCTTCGCCTCGGCGCCCGAGGAGGAGCTCGCCGTCGCCGACGCCGCGGGCGGCGTCTTCACGGCCTGCGCCACGGTCGCCGCCGCCATCGACGAGGCGGTGCGCGGCGAGCTCGCGTACTGGGAGGGGTGGACGGAGCGCGTCGTGGAGGCGTGCAGGGACGACGCGCCGTTCTCTGTGGCCGGGTCGACGAGGTTCCGCGTGTACGACGTCGACTTCGGGTTCGGGAGGCCGGCGAAGGTGGAGATCGTGTCCGTGGCGAAGACCGGCGCGGTGTCGGTGGCGGAGGATCGTTCCGGCGCCGGCGGCATCGAGGTTGGCATAGCTCTGCCGCCGGAGCGCATGGACAGGTTCCGGAGATGCCTCGCCGACGCCATTGCTTGGCTTTCCTCGTCTTCCCAATGCAACTATCGTGGGAAAACTGCAGTACGTGGAGTAGATTTCATCAGAGATTCGGTTTTCATGTCTGTTTGCTGGCTTATACTCTCTCTCTCTAAAAAATAATAATAATAAACCCTAGGGATGGATCGGCACATGTACTTAGATTCATTCGATCAATTCTTTTTTAAGGACGGAAGGAGTAAGTCGAAATAAAATTTAAAACTTTTTAATTTAATTTTAGTGATTGTATTTTCATCCCTTCTGGAGTACTTTTAAACTGCTGGTAATAATTATTTACATAAAAATTATTTTTGCTGCCTTGTTAATTTTTTTATAGCTTATTTTGTTGCTCAACCGATCAGACAATTTTGAATGGCATTTCATTTGAAAGTGGATTTTAAACTCTCAAGGGGATGTCTTTTCATTGTTTGCATGACACTTAGAATAGTTATAAAATTATTATAAAAATTGAGAAGATGTATTAACATGAGATATATCGCTTTAGAAACATGTAAGGTAAAATTCTACTTTTATAAGTTGCAATAAGAAAAAATAAATTAAAGATAGTTAACGTATATTCAGAGTCAATTTTTTTTTGCAACGTGTTAAAGTGAGAAATTTAACTTGCATGTCTGTAGAGGGATCTAACACATATTAATCTATATTATTAATTTCTTTTTCAAATTTTTCATAGTCATTTGAGTGACATACAACAATGAGTGGATGTCACCTTGAGAGTTTAGAATAGTATCACTATTTTATTTGTCCTAGGATGTGTTCTTAACTCAAGGTTCCCAACATCAATTCTCTCATTACCCACACGCACGAATCCTGAACTACTAAACATAATGTTTATTTAAAAAAATTCTTTAGAAAAAGATGCTGTAAAAAATCATATCAATTTAATTTTTAAACTATTGTGTTAATACTTAATTAATTATGTATTATTTTGTCATTTTGTTTTACGTGTGAAGGGGAGAGATTTCCAAACCAATCCAAATGGACACACCCTAAATGTAAAGAAGTGAGTTTCGTGTTGGGATTTTACTCCAGCATAGCTCAAGCTACTCCCTTCGTTCGGATTAGATACATATAACAAATTTGGATAAGTTTGTTTAAATTGTTGTACTAAAATATATTCCATCCCGTTCTAACTTGTAATATTTTGAGACAGGACTAGTACATGGTAAGCTTGGTAATATGCAAGACCAATATATATATTTATTTATGCTTATGCTTCTAATACTACGTCCTTTAAATACTTGTAAGCTATTGTATTTGTATTTACTGCTACATCTGTTTTAAAATATATAACTTTTACTTACGAATCTGGTTTTAAATTTTTATATTTTAGATAGAAGGAATAATGTTTATGATTAGCAAATGATAAATCGGCAAATGTATATGTCAGAACACTAAAATTCGTAAAGGAAATATGAATAAGCCAAAGCTCTTAATGAGTTTATTAACCCGCTTGAGTTAACTTGCGAGCCAGAACCAACCTAGACTTTTAGCGCACTATATTAAGCCGAGCCTAGCAACTTGTGTTGATGTAAAAACACGAGGCCTGAAAGATCTGCTTAACTTCAGTGCAGGTCCAAAAATCTTGTCTTTAGATTTGTGAGCATGCCAGTTGATTTGATCCTGCAATCAACAAGAAATAAAGACAAAGAAACCGCGGTTAAATCCATAAACAATAGCCGATCGGCTAGTTGCCGATGACGTATCATTTATCTTTGAGCCGATGTCATATGTAAATCGATCGGCAGTCATGAATAAGTAAGAAAGGACTAAATCTACTCGATCGGCTGTAGACATTAACAATATATAATCCTTATATCGATATATACTTAAATCAAGTGATTGGGATAGATCGGTCGCCATACTGAGACAGTATAAATCACTTAGATCGAAATATGTATTAACAACAAGACTACATATGTTTATAACATAGCTGATCATATATATCTAGCGTGTATCGGCTAATACTCCGATACTACTCTATATTAAGATACCAAAGCAAGTAGAATATACCAAACGAAAGTCTAATATACTTAAATGCAACAAGATCTTAATATAAAGGGTAGATTTAACATGTCAATCAAGCATACAAGATAAAAGTAGTTATATCAGGTAAAATCGGCTGAAACCCCGATGCTCCTCTAATCGGCAACCAAAAGCAGGCTAGAGATCGAGATTCTAATCACGACTTATAAGATCAAACTCAACTGATGCAGCTATAAGTATGAAAAGAAGGATAATATCTAGACAATCAAGCCGTTGGATCTTTCATAGAGTGGTAGATATCCTATATAATCTAGGTCAACGTCGGTATTTAACCTGATCGGCTGTCTTCTGGTAACAGACGTTAGCCGATTGAAGGTTAAATAGCGATATTGCCAGAGATTATATAAGATATATGATAACTCGACGAATTACATAAATGAGATTAGAGTATCATAAAGATGGAAGCACTAATCCCGAGAACGCAAGCCGCCATAAGAAGTTTTACCTCTAGTTGAAGATCGAATCCGATGCAGCTCAACCCGAAAGCAAGAACTCGTCGAAACAAAACGAAAGTAAAGGGTGGCGATGCGCCGAGATTATATTGAGCGTGTGTTAGATTGATTACATGGGGCTCGGGGTCTATTTATACCCGATATTACAAAAAATGTCCATGTCACACACGACTCTTATCTCTAACAAACTCTAAGATACCATAAGTCTTTGCGGCAGACTTTTGTCCAAACATATCTCTAAGGAAATTACATGAAATATCCTAATTAATAGATACAATTGCCTTCTCAGGACTCAATCCATGCGTGGCAATCCTCATGAAGCACGTTAACTCAACCCAACAACGTATGCCGTGTCACATTGTCGGATTCGGCTAACCTTGTCCGACTCGAACTCTGCCAATTAAAGCCACAACCAATTCGGACTTAGCCGATTCCCACTCTGTTTCCTGGACGATCTCTATTTTAGATTCCGCTTCAGTCTAATCTCCATCTCCGATGACGATTACCGAATTTGGTCGTTAACAACTTGTTATGATACTGAGCTTAGCTAGTACAAGCCTTAACAGTTACTCCTCCCTCTATTCTAGAATAACTTCGTGTATTCAATATAGGAGGGTAATTCGGTCGACCGTGATAGTTTAGAGGGTATTATATACTTTTTCCTTTTAGTAATCATTGTATCAAAATTTATAAAATCACAAGATAAATATATTAGAAATAGGTAAAAAGAGATAATTGTATGAGGATTTGATAAAGTATGGCAATGTTATTTTTTTTATTTTGTGTTGATATGTATGACATAAGTGAAAAATGTCCTATAATAATTTTTTTAAGATCCTTTCATTTATTTAAAATAAGTTTATTTTTAGAGTAATATAATTATTGCACCAGAGTTTATAAAGATAGAGAATAATTATATTAGGAGTAGACACTACTAGAAAAATGAGTTTTTCCAGGCAGTCCGAACGTGTTTTCACATGCGGCTCAGCTCCTCACCATCTATTAAAGGCTAGTGAAAATCAACATCTTCACAGGCGAACCTTCACCACTTGCGCAAATCAATTTTCAGAAGCGGCTAGGTTAACCCGACCGCCAGCGAGTAATTAAGGAGAGGGTGTGTGGCCGGGAGGGAGAGGAGGGTATTTTAAGGATTTTTTTTAGGCAGACAGTGCTCTTAACCTGCCGCTTGTGAAATTTAATCTTCACGGCCGATATGTTAAGTTGTCTGCCTGTGAAATTCTAGATATTTTTGCTGGCGGCTCTCTTAACCTTGGACCGTAACTCCCTTCCCCTCGTTACATTTTCACTGGCGGTGGTTGTGTATAGCCGCTTAAGAAAAAAGTAGGTTGATGCTATGAAAAATTGATTTTCGTAGCAGTGAGATAAAGTAAGAAATAGTTGCATTGTGATTTAATAAAGTATGATATTTTAGTTTATTTTATTTTATATTGTTATGCATGAGATGAGTGAAAAATAAATTTATTTCGGACAGAAGTAGCAGGTGATAGCCATCGTCGGTATTTTCGAATCAGGGATATGTTGGCCAATTTTAGTTCCCAAAATAAAAAATTTTAAGCTGTCACATCGAATATCCCTATCAAATCTAATTAAAATCCGGATCAAATCTAATTAAAATCCGGGTAGATTGGTTAAAGAAAATCTGTTCAGTTGAGCTAGGTTACCAGAGAAAATTAAATTTGACGATATGCAGATATTTTCCGAGCGCCATCATTCTGAGCTGCAGCAGGGGCATGTGAACTGAGCGGGTGTATGAGCCTCACGAATGATGGCGCTTGGAAAATAAGGAGCTGTTTAGTTCGCGAAATAAAATATTTTAGGTTTTATCGGATATTGGAAATGTTTTTTTTTTACACGAATGAAAAAACTAATTTTATAACTCGTCTGAAAACCGCGAGACGAATCTTTTGAGCCTAATTAATCTGTCATTAGCATATATAGGTTATTGTAGCACTTATGGTTAATCATGGACTAATTAGACTCAAAAATTCGTCTCGTGATTTCTCCCCTAACTGTGTAATTAATTTTTTTAATCTATATTTAATACTTTATGCACGTGTCCAAAAATTCGATATAGTGTTTTTGAAAAAACTTTCCTAATGCTTGCGTGCCCCACCCACGATGGAACCCGATGGAACTACACCCAACAAAAATTATCAATCTGTTACCCCCTCCAATCAAAAATAGGGTTAATTTGATCCATGCCACTATAAATCTAGCTATTAAAAAAATACCATTATAATTCATCTATTAATAACCATGCCACTTGAATTTTACGAAATTAGCACCATACCATACCGTCACATTTTCCATCCATCCCCCATCTTTTCCGTCTTCTTCCTTCCTTCTCCCATCATCTTCCCGGAGTCAAGCCGGAGAGGGAGCTTGCCGGCAAGGTAACCTCGAGCGCAGTCGAGCGCAGCGTGGATGCTAGCGTTGGTCTCCTGCAGGGCGTGGTCGAGCAACGCAGCTGGGTGTCGAGTGTGACCAGCTGCTCTCTTCTTCCCCATCGTGGCGGGCCTCTCCGACCGCCTCCTCGCCGCCTCGAAGAGGTCCTGGAGGTCGAGCAGCGCCTCGTCGAGAGGGCCCTCGAAGCGCATCTCCTCCGCCTCCGCCTCATACACCGCGCGCAGCGCCGCCGCCACCGCATCGGTCAGCCGCCGCACGCAACTGCGGCCGATGGCCTTGGTTTGGCCGAGGAAACCCACGACCTCCTCCACCCTCCTCACGGCCTCGTCCCCACGCGCCACCGCCTCCTCGATGGCGTCGCACAGCTGGTCCACGTGGCCGACGAACCCCACCGCGCCATCAGCGTACGCAGGGTCCGCCGGGAGCGCCTCCGCGGCTTCCTTGGTGAGCGCGGACACGCGGCGGAACGCCGCTAGGAGGAGCTCCGCCGGCGCGATGGCGCGGTCGATGCGCGCGCACCACCGCCTGGGACTAGAACTGGGAGGACGACGGCAAGCAGCAAGAGCACCTCGCCGCTGTCTTCGAGTCTTCGTCGCCGCCGCACCACCGCCTCGATGGTGTCGCGCAGCTGGTCCACGCGGCCGACGAACCCCGCCACGCACTCGGCGTCCGCCGGGTCCGCCGGGAGCGCCGCCGCAGCTTCCTCGGCGAGCACGGACACGCGGCGGAACGCCGCTAGGAGGAGCTCCGCCGGCGCGACGGCGTGGTAGATGCGGGCGCGCAGGGCGCGCACTGTCACCGCCTGGGACTGCAGCTGAGAGGACGACGGCAAGCAGCAGGAGCACCTCGCCGCCGTCTTCGAGTCTTCGTCGCCGCCGTCGGGTATGCTCACGCCGTGCCGTGCCGACGCTTGCTCCACCGCAGAAGATGGGAGAAGGAAGTAGGAAGACGGAAAAGGTGGGGATGGATGGAAAACGTTATGGTAGTTACACGGTTCTAATTTCATAAAAATTCAGTAGAGCGAATAGTGGTATTTTTTTTAATAGCCAAATTTAAATTTACAGTGGCATGGATCACATTAACAAAAAAAATAATGTGCAATTTTACCATGCCCAAAAAATTTTATATTCGATGTTAAGGCTAATCACTGATAGTAGTACAAAACTGCAATATCTTGAACGGTGAACGAGTCATCATACAAGTACTAGGATCTATTTTAGATTTAAGACTACTTAAGCTACTTCATCGGTTTGTCCGATTATCATAAATTCCCGCTTTTTCTATACTGATAATGAAGACGTAAAAGTCTGCTGACATTGAAAACAACAATATTTATATTTATATAAGAGCAAGTATAATAGTGAGAGCTTTCAAGGGCGTTGGCTCTCATGCAAGAGCTGATTTAGAGCAAGTATAATAGAGAGCTATAAGAAAGCTGAATGCTGAGGTGGATGATAGAGGAGAGGAGAGAGATGTGAAGCGGGCTGTTAGTTTACAGCCGGCTTATGCATGAAGAGTTAACCACTATATGAGTGAGCACATATGCTATAAAGATCTATACAGTAAGCAATTGGCTGTATTATTATCCTTGCTCTATATAGTATAGCCAATTACTAGCTCCAAATCAATTAATAGTCAATTCATATAATATTTAACTATAAATATATATACTACATCATTAATAATTGCTCCC